TTTATTGTTCAGGTGAACACCCAGGTACTTGTAAGAGTCCACAATCTTGATGTTCACACCCTGGATGTTCACCGGGGTCAGTGAGGTGGGTCTGTGCCTGCGGAAATCCACCACCAGCTCCTTAGTTTTAGCAGCGTTGATCAGGAGGTGGTTCAGCTGGCACCAGTCCACAAAGTCTTGAGTCCACTGTCTGCACTCTGAGCCGTCCTCACCTGTGATGAGGCCGACTATGACAGAGTCATCAGAAAACTTTTGCAGATGGCAGTGTGGGGAGTTGATGGTGAAGTCTGCAGTGTAGAGAGTGAAGAGGAACGGTGCCAGCACAGTTCCCTGCGGGACCCCCGTACTGCAGACAAGCCTATCAGAGACACAGCCCTGTGTCCTCACATACTGTGGGCGTCCAGTGAGGTAATCCAGTTTCCACTGGGACATGTGGTGATCTACTTCTGATAACTCCAGCTTGTCCCGCAGAAGTCCTGGCTGGATGGTGTTGAAAGCACTGGTGAAATCAAAGAACATGATCCTCATGGTGTTTCTCCAGGTGGGTCAGAGCTTGCTGCCTGAGGTAGATGATGGCATCATCCACCCCAGTGCCAGGCCGGTAGGCAAACTGCAATGGATCCAATGAAGACCTCACCAGATGGCAGATGGTTAGTTGACTACTATTCAAAATACACTGAAATTGAACTGTTAAAAGGCCAGCAAAGCCGTACTACTATTGAAGCCCTGAAGTCTCAGTTCAGAAGGCATGGCATCCATGCCATTCAGATAACGGACCACAGTATGTATCTGAGGAATTCCGAGTCCTGTCAAAGCTACATCATTCTGTACAAAACATTGCCTCACACGCTACACTCTAATGGTGAAGCAGAGTGTGCAGTGCAAACAGTTGAGACTTTGGAGCAAAGCAACTGAAAAATATCTGGTTCTATTGGACTACCGGACAACTTCACTTGAGTCATTTGGCCTGTCACCTGCACAGCTGCTTATGGGCAGGAGACTTCGCAACAAACTGCCAACTGCTCATACTCAGACCGATGGCTTATGACCCCCTCAAAATCAAGCATCTTCTAGACAAGACTAAAGACACACACAAGTTCTATTATGACAGAAGAGCAAGTAGTCCCCGTCCAGACATACGACCTGGAGATGAAGTCAGATGGCACGTATCCTGACAAAAAGAGATGGATTTGTTATAAGTGTCACCAAGACCCAGATACTAAACAGCCTCCAAGATGCTGTGATCCTGATGCTAACATGCTGAACATTGATGGGATAAACCTGGAAGACGTCACCAACTTCTGTTATTTGGGCTGCCAGATAAGAAATGACAACCACCTTGCATCTGAAATCCCTGTGCGTATAGCGGGAGCTGCTGTCACCTTGGGCAAGTTAAATCAGCGTGTGTGGAAATCTCATGACATCACACTGCAGATGAAACTTGCAGTTTACCATGCCATAGTACTGCCGATCCTTTCATATGCCACTGAAACCTGGTGCCTGTTTAAAGGTGACATTAGGAGTAGGGATGCACCGATCCACATTTTTTTACTTCCGATCCGATCCCGATACCTAAGTCTGGATATTGACCGATACGACCCAATTCCGATATCATCATCATTATTAATTTTATATGAGGCTGTAATAATCTCCTTTCAAGTACAATTTGTACAAATATATGCATGCATGTCCAAAAAGGCAATTTGAGGTAAGTTTTATTAATGTTGGATAAGTTTTAAAGTTAGAATTAAATTCTGCTAACACAAAACATGTTTCTTTTTATTCCTAGCTTTAAAGTGGATATTAAAGTGATTAATTTAAGTGATTGTTTAAAGTTATTTTATATATTTTTTTTAAATAAGGAACAGATATAAGATGTTTTTCTTCTTTCTGTACTCTTTTCATTCAATGTTTTTTTTTTGATGAATTTGTTTATTTTGTTTCTTTTAAATGAATGAATAAATGAATTAAATGTTAAATGGTTTTAAACATCTGCTAAGTTCATGGCATAAACCAACAGACATGTTCCTGTTTTTAGTATTTTACAT